TGCATGCATGCCCAAGATCCCAAGAGGAGAATGAAGGGATTGCGGCTTGGCCATCCCCCTGGGGGTGTGTGTGTGATTTCTCCTTTCTGTCTGTCTCTCTCTGTCTGATTGGAGCGTGCATACACCCTATAGCAGGGAAAAAAATAAAAAACAACTCTCCAAAAAAAAAATCACTTCCTGTTACATCTTTTCAATTGCAGCATTATATGTATATTATTGTATGGCTTACAAAATTTCTCATCTATGAAATTTGAAATAATCCTGAAGGGCCAGCCCCATGGCCTAGTCTAGGTTAAGAGAGCTGGATCCCAGAAAGTCGACTATGTGGTTCAAATCCTATTTTACTGGATCCAAATAAGGGCCGTACACTGCATTTATTGGTGTATCTCAAGTGGCTTCAAAAACACGCCAGGCACATGTACAGGCGGGATCAACACCCTGGCGTGAAGGGGAAGTGGCGGGGATTGCAGCGTGAGCACCCCATGGGAGACGTTGCCCCTTCTACCTGTTTCTGGTGAGCGTACGTGAGACCTCTGGCAAATACAACTTTTTAACAAATTCTATGGAGGGGCCGGCAGGTGGTGTTTTGGTGATTAAGGCACTGGACTCCCACATGGCCGATGTGGTTCGAGTCCTGGACCTGGCAGCTTGCTCTCTCCCTTTCCTTTTTTCTCTTTCTCTATCTCTTTCTGGTAAGCACACCTGCTTTATAGCAAATTCAATAATAATAATAAAATTATATAATTCTTTTAAAAAATTATATGGAAAATGTCAGCATATGGAAAATGACCTTACTGTACGCCTTACCCAGCTCTGGGGCCAGCATTGGAAGCAAATCTCAGGAACCATACCATCTTATCCTCAGGTATGTCTGTTTAGGGGCTGGCAGGTGGCGTGGTGGTTAGTGCTCTGGGCTCCCACATGGCCAATCGCAGTTTGAGTCCCAGAACTGGTAGCGTGCTTTCTCTCTCTCGTGTCTCTCTGATCAAATTAAGAATAATAATTGGGGCTGGTGGGTGGTGTGGTGGTTGAGTCACTGAACTACCACACGGTCAACTGCAGTTCAAGTCCTAGACCTGGCAGCTTGCTTTCTCATTTTACTTCCCTCTCTCTCTGGTGAAACTTAAAAAAAAAAAAAAAAATTAAGTTAAATAATTATTTTTTAAAATAATAAAAAGTAAATAATTCTTTTAAGAATAATAAATAAATCTTTGAAAAAAGTATGTCAGTGGGGCTGGCAGGTGGCGTGGTGGTTAAAAGTGCTGGGCTCCCACATGGCTGACCTTGGTTCGAGTCCCAGACCTGGCAGCTTGCTTTCTCACTCTATTCCTCTATGGCAAAATAAAAATAAATAAATGGATAAAAATAAATTAAAGAAAAAATTTTAAAAAAGTATGTCAGTTTATGTGACTCCAGAGTATCAGGACCATTAAAAGCACAAGCACATGCGGTTACCAAACCCAAAACAGCACTCGTACCCTCGGCAGGGTAGGCAGCGCGCGGCTCTCCCACCGAGTGGATGGCTTGTTTGGTGAACGGCTGCCCGCTTGCGCGATTGAAAGACACCGCTTTACAGAATCCACGGAAGAGCCCTCTGTTGCCTTTACTGGCATCTCTCAAGTTTGTGGGCTTTAAGAATTATTTGATTTGATTCATTATTATTTTTTAAACTTGCTATAGGACATATGAGAGAGAGAGAGACGGAAAGTGAGAAAGCAGGCTGCCAGGTCCAAGACTTGAACCGCTGTTAGCTATGTGGGAGTCTAGCACCTCAAAACACCATGCCACTTGCCGGCCCCAAGATTTTTTTTTAATGTGCCATAGGACATGTGCACTTGCCAGAGAGACAGAGAGGGAGAGAGAACATGAGAAAGCACCCTCCAGGAGGGACGGCCGTGCCACGATCCCCTCTCCAGTCTCCTGCTGGACTTGCATGTACACACCTAACGCTGGGTTTTAAAGCTGCCAGGTCTGGGACTCAAACCAGTCAGCCACGTGGGACCCAGCTGCTTTCACTACCACGCCACCAAACTGGCCTCATCTCAGATTTCTTTTCAACCTGTTTTTCCTCTTTTTTTTTTGGAGAGGTTTTCGCTATAGGGCGCGTGCGCTTGCCAGACAGACAGAGAGACATAGAGACAGAAAGTGAGAAATCACCCCCCAGGGGGGATGGTCACGCCGCAATCCCTTCTCCTCCATTCTCCTCTCGGGATCTTGGGCACGCACGCACACGCGCCCGGCGTGAGATTTAAGCCACCGGGTCCGAGACACGAACCGCGGTCGACTACGTGGGAGTCCAGCAACATAGCCATTACGCTAACTGCTGGTTCCCTCCTCTTCTTTTTTGAGGTTCGTTGATGACACCACCCTCGAACCTGGTGGTGTGTGCTCTGCTTGCTTCTTTGGGAGCTTCAGTCTCCCAGGGCAGCCACAGAGTGAGACCCAGTCTAGAGCCAGCCCAGGCGACTACAGGCTGTGAGCCGGGGACAGTGTACAGTGCCAGGCAGAGTTCCAGGGGCTGGTTATTCACAGCCAGGGGCTCCCGTTTCTGGATCCTCTTGCCTCAGCCTTCCAGCTGGAACTACAAGCTCTGAGCGCTGGAGTGGCTTGTTACACAGCAGCAGTTGACTGACACAGGTGGAAAGAGGTCCCTGAAGGGAAGATAAAAGGGGGCTGGAATGACAGCCCCTGAGAGCATCCCAGGGTGGGATGGCCTTTTAGATGTGTGTATTATGTGTATATATATATATTTGCTATAGAGGACGTGTGCTTGCCAGAAAGACAGAGACAAAGCGAGAAATCACCCTCTGGGAGAAGGCCACACTGCAATCCCTTCTCTTCCATTCTCCTCTCGGGATTTGGGGTGGACACACACATACACCTGGCGTGTTTGAAGCCTCTAGGTCTGGACCCAAACCGTGGCCGGCCATGTAGGAGTCCAGCAACACAACCTCTATGCCATCTGCTGGTCTTGCCATGGCTTTTTAAGAGAGAGGACTCTTTCACTGTTAGTTGATCCTGAAATCTCAGGGAGGCAGTGAAGGTCCTTCCCCACTTTCCAGATGAAGTTGTCTGGCTGAAGGCAAGCGGCGAGCTTGACTAGGCCGAGTCCGACTGCTGGGCCAGCCCTCCCTAGCTGTGCTGCTCCGCGGGCCCCACTCTGAGGGCTGCCACCACAGCAGTGCACAGGGCTCAGCCCGACGGCCAACTTCCGCCTGGCAGGAGAAGGAGGGTGGAGAGGGCCACGGGAGCACCTGGCCCAATCCTGACTGGACCTAAGGCTTGGCAAGGCTTAGTTGCCGCCCTATCCTTGTCATATGGTCACTTGGAGTCCTCCCAGACCTAAACACACAACTCTCAACCACCTCAGAGCGGATCCCCGCCATCAGCAACTCGGGGCGGCCCAGTGCTGTAGGGCGCAGCCCCATCTAGGCGCCCACACTGCCTGTGCCTCCAGGCTGACGAATCAGGAAGGCCGTAGCTGGGGTCAATAGGGTGTGGGGTGGAAGGTGCCATGGCGGTTCCGTCACTGGGCTCGGTGTACAACAGCAGCCCAGGACCTGGCTTCACCTCTCCCTCCAAGGTGACCTCGCCCTTCCCCCAACCATTAACTGATGGTGCACAGCCTGGCCCCGCCCCAGTGCACACCTGTTGCCCACCAGGTGGGGGCCACATGCATGAAGGACACGGGCCATGGCCCTATTTTTAGCCGCTTACGGCCAAGCCAAACATCATCATCAGGTGGTTTCTCAGCTGTGGGGACCTGTGCCAGGGCAGGAGGCACGCGCCACAGCCCCGTGGGAAAGCTACACAGCCGTGCCATTGTTCCAGGCCTGCCCCGCCCCGGGAGGGTCATGGCTCCCTGAGCCTTTAAAGCCCCAGGTGGGACAGCGCTGTCCGCGCAGGACCCTGAGCCCAGCAGCCCCTTCCAGAGAGCTCCCTTCATAACACGCTTTAAGCAGCAAAATTTAAAAAATAGCCGAGAATATTCCAGATTCTTAGCAGAATTCCTGCCATCTCTGTAGACATCTCAGGTGAGCACCAGGCTGCAGGGCACCCCCAGGAGTGGGGCAGGACGCAGTCCCTCCAACAGCGAGGCCTCGGTGTGGGTACCCTTCCCAGAGACAGGCCTTCTGGTGGGGGAGGAGTAGTCAGGGTCCACTACTGGGTGCTAGGTAGTAGGTCTTCTGGGCACTTGGCACAAGGGTCTCCAGGGTGTCCTGGCACCACCCACCACGACAGGGCTCCCGTGCCCTTGGCCTCCAAGAGCTCGCACCATGCTGGACTCCAGAAGGCCTGATTGATGCCTCCCTCCTGTGACTTGCATTCCCCCAGGATGGGGACTAGGAGGCTCATGGAGGCCCTGCTGGCCCTGGCCGGCCTGCTGCAGGTGGCACTATCCCTGAAAATCGCAGCCTTCAACATCCGGGCCTTTGGGGAGTCCAAGATGAACAACGTGACCCTCTCCAACTATATCACGCAGGTAAGCAGCGCCCGTCCCTGAGGGCGAGCAACCGGGGCTGGCTGTGGGGTCGGCCCTGTCGGGGGCCCGGAGAGCCTCCTCAGCCAGCCAGGGCAAGCAGGGCTGCACCTGCTGGCCAGGATCCAGTCCCTGCGGTGCCGTCGGTGGCTGCAGCAGGAGTCCGGGCAAAAGCGCCAGGCTGCAGCCAAGGGGGAGCACGGCCCCGACCACGGCAGAGGTCTGGGAGCAGCAGGGGCTGCAGGCCTGTCCGTCAAGGTCTCCACTCAGCGTGGCTGTGCTTCCCCCAGATCGTGAGTGACTACGACATCGCCCTCATCCAGGAGGTCAGAGACAGCCACCTGGTGGCTGTGGGAAAGCTGCTGGACAAGCTCAACCGGTGGGTGAGGCGTGGGCATCCTGGGATGTGACCACCCTGGGCAGTCTGCGGGTCCCCTCTGTGGCCCCGGATCAACTCTTGTTTCCTCCCTCCAGGGACGTACCAGACTCCTACCACTATGTGGTCAGCAGGCCGCTGGGCCCCAGCACGTACAAGGAGCGCTACCTCTTCCTGCACAGGTGAGGCGGGCTGGCCGAGCCCGCGGCCACAGGGAGACGTGGGAATCGGACCAGAGTCTGGACCTGAGGGGGCCAGCAGGTGGTCAGAAGGACCCAGGGAGCCCTTCCCTCACCTGGGAGGACCCCAAAGAGGGGGTAGCTACTTGTCTAACAGTGCAAGGGCCCCAGGTCCGGTCCAGGGGAGGGGGGTGGCGGTCTCCCACCTCTGGGCCCAGCAGGTCTGCAGTGTGAAACTCTGGCCTGGCTCCTGGTGCCCAGGACGCCCACCCACCCACGGCCAGTGGCCTTGGGGAGAGGAGGGATAAGGGAGCCAGGTGTGAAAGGGCAGCTCCCCAATCCCAAGCCACCTGTCCCCGCAGGCGAGACCAAGTGTCTGTGCTGGACAGCTACGACTACACCCGTGAGCACTGCAAGGACCACCCCTGCAGCAACCACACCTTCAGCCGGCCGCCCATTGTCGTCAAGTTCTCCTCCCCATGCACGCGTGAGTGCGGCTCGGGGGGACACTTGGCCCTGCCCTGCAGCACCCCATGGCTGTCCTGACGCCACCCTCCCCCTGGTGCTC